CCCCATTGCACCATCGGTTCGATTTTTTTCGTCTCATTCGATTCGATTAAATGCAGATTTCGATTTTCACAGTTCAAATTGTCATTCCTAGTCAAAAGACCCAGCCAAGCCCTACTTTATCATTAGGTTTCTCTCTCCCTTTCACTTGAATTTTTTGAAGTTAGAAGGGACCTTTCTCAAATCTCACCTAATAATTCACGTGGGCCATTTAATTGTTTTTTTTCAACCATCCGACTATGAAACCTCCAACCAAATTTGAAATCGAATTCAAGCAAAAGGCCAATCAAAGGCTGACTATAAATTGCATAAAGTCAAAGGAAAAGACTGACAGAGTGGTTGGGTGGCTTATGTTTAAAAACTAACATTGAAAGTGATATTTATTTTTAATGTGAATTCATTTACATTTAAAAATATAAATCAAAATAAATTACATATATAGAGGTACAAATATGAAATTTATTTTTTCCATTTCAATTGATTCGATCCGACTCTCCACTTAATTTAGATAGTGATAGAGAAGGACAACTGGTAAATTTTCTAATCCATTGCAGAAAAGAAGATAGACCTAAATTGATTAGGGCTACGTTGATTCATTTCTACAATCCTTGAAAAAATCTTAAGACGCTGATGTTAAGTCAATTTGTTTTCGTAGAAACATATAAATCTATTTGTTACAAAATAAAGATTGCTCTTGGTTGGCAAGTTTCATTGTTTCCATTTTATAATTTGATGTCATTTAAAATATCAATCTTATTGAAACGATTATATCAAATCTTTATAAGTCAGATAATATTTTTATATTTAACCAATGTGAGATTTACTCCTAACATGTCTCCACAATATGATGATTTTAAGATTATCAATCGGATTGCTCATTTTGAGCTTTATACATATATTAAGCTTCAGTTTGGTTTAGATAAAAATCAATTTGTATGATTGAAAGTTGTTGATCCCACAAAATGTATAGCTAAAGTTAAATATCCATTTTTATTTAAATTTTAATTCACTATCTAGTTATAATAGTTTTTAGAAGAAGTTTGTTAATTCAACTTTTTCTAAAAGTACTTTCAAAATATGAAATACTTTTAAAAGTTAGTTTCCAAATAAAGAATAAAATAGCTTCTTCTAAAATCTATTCTGAAAAAAAAAAAAAAAAAAAGTAAAAAACCATGTCGTTCCCATAAACACGAATCTTGCTACACTTACACACCTTGGTACACAACCCTCTCACATGTGTGTGGGGTCCACAATGTGGGCCTCATTGTGGACCCTACAAGCATATGAGAGGGTTGTGTACCAAGTGTGTACAAGTAGCATTTTTGCATAAACATGGGCTAAAATTAATAAAAAGAAAGTACCCCTGCAGCGTTAGCATTAGCCTGTCATGAATTAGATCTTATATAAAATATTTGCACCGACATAGCTTTTAGACAGAGTCGCCTCGGAACGCACCTATTCTATTCTATTGTATTGTCTATTGTGTTTTGTTTGTAGGTGAAGTTGATTTGACGATAAAAGATGCTTAGCCCACGATCCAACCATGTATATAGATAGAGAAAAAATTACGATTGAGGTCTTAATTTATGAATTTTGTACAAATAGGTACTTAATTTATATTCCTATTTTCAATTAGTACAAAAAATAAATAGAAGAAAAAAAAAATTTCTCCCCACCCAACCAATTTTCCTTGCCACCCCTTCTTCATGTAGCCCTTTCCCTTGGCAGGGATTGAAGAGAATAAAGTGACAGACGAACCCAGTGAGATGTTTGAGAAAGATGAAAAGGACTATTGTGCAATTATGGGAGGTGGTTGGAATGGGGATATGGAGAATAGAGAGAAACTTATAGATAATCTTTGCTCAACTCGACAATGCTTCTTTCATTATTAAGCAAATTGAGTAATAATGTTAGATTCAATTGACTATTTTCCTTTCTTCGGTGCTACCCTTTTTAAAGGGAAGGGATTGAGGTGTTTAATAGTTGCGATTGCAAGAGATAATTGAAATTAATAACTAATCAACCATAACTTTAAAGTCGTTGCTACTTGCTTTATTTTTGTTTACTTTTTTATTTTTATTTAATTATTTTTGCTTGTCTATAATATCGTTTCATACATTGTCTACATAATTTGTACTTCTTAGCATTGAAATGTGCAGTTTTTGTCCATTGGGGATCAAGCTACTTAAAGTTTGAAAGTTGGGGATTCAACATTCAAAAAACTAGATTGAGGAAAAATATGCCTACAAATAAATTATAATATGAAGGTAATGATGGCAGTTAAAACAAGGTTTTAGAACGACCCAAAATGTCTTATATATTTGACATATTTCAATCAAGCGGTGTGAAAATAGGAATCTTTCTTGCGTACAGAATGGTATAGCCTATTCTATTCTATACAGGAGGCTTTTAGCCTTCTAATTCTGTGGTGCTCTCCAGAGAGAATGTTTGCTTTTTTTTGGTTGATGCTTTTGTTCTACTCTTCTTTGGTCACCACTCAAGATCTGTCTCATGACTACGTCTTACAAGGTAAGAACATCATAATATTAGCCGGACAGAGCAACATGTCTGGTCGAGGAGGTGTTATCAACAACAAATGGGATGGTTTTGTTCCTCTGGAATGCCATCGGAATTCATCGATCCTCCGGCTTAGTGCAGGGCTTACATGGGAAGAGGCGGAGGAGCCTCTCCATCGTGATATCGATGTAGTTCGAACGTGTGGAGTAGGGCCCGGGATGGCATTTGCAAATTCAGTTTTGGCAAAAGATCCAAGCCTCGGGGTGATTGGTTTGGTCCCTTGTGCAATTGGAGGAACGAATATAAGCGAGTGGAGACGTGGTAGTGTCCTTTATAATAAGCTCATTCAGAGGGCCAATGCTGCGTTACAAGGGGGAGGAATAATTCGAGCACTTTTATGGTACCAAGGTGAAAGTGATACCGTAATTCACAAGGATGCTGAATTGTACAAGGGGAGATTGGATAGATTTTTCGACGATTTACGATCTGATTTGATGTCACCTATTCTTCCTGTGATCCAGGTAATCTTCTTCAAGTGAATAGCTCATGTTTGTTCAATGTCTATGTATCAATTACTGGTCTGGGAAACTGTTAATAAGTAAGATCTTGAGATCCCAATTGGAATTAACAACTAGTTGATGTGAAGTTAAAACTTTTAGCTCCTGTTTGGGCAGAGTTTTGACAAAAATTGATGAAATGATAAGTTGTGGGTTTCGTGATTTATTGACTTTTAACTTAAAGATTTTTAGCTACTTATAATCCACATCGAACAGAAAATTGAATGAAATAGTTTAACACAATATTATAGTGGCACACATTTATGAAAATTGTTGAGAAGCGCGTGAGGTTATTGGACAAATAGTAAGTGAATTTAACTCGATTTTTTGTGATGTAGGTGGCGTTGGCATCAGGAAAAGGACCTTTTATAGAGATAATAAGAAAAGCCCAGTTGGAAACGAACCTTCAAAATGTGAAATGTGTTGATGCAAAGGGATTGCCATTAGAGCCTGATGAATTGCACCTCACTACTTTGGCGCAAGTCGAGTTAGGTAAAATGTTGGCTGATGCCTTCCTTCAAACTGTGCCTCTACCTGTTCAGAGTAATGCCCCAAAGAGGTTCAACAATTTTATTCTTGACTTTCTCCGAGAACCATTTTGGTAGATATTGGTGTATACTTTTTTAATACGAAAGCATAAATATATAGACCATCATATCCATAATTGTGTATTTTCACACGAAAAGTAAAATTACCATATTATTCCGAGAAATATGTTCTTTTTCTTTCTTTCTTGATGTACCTAAAGCAGCTACACCTAACGCATCTATGAAATTAGTTAGCACTTGTACTTCCAAACATGCAACAAGACCATGTTTTGTGTGAGGCTCATTCAAACTATCATAATCTATATAATTGCCTCACTTTTGGCCTCTAAAATTAGATTTTTAGTAAATTTTATATATAAAATGAAAAGGGGAATTATAGTGGCAAAAAGCACATCTTTGTATTCTCTTTCATTAAAAATGTCTCGTTTTGAGTTAGTAAAGTTAGAAAAAATCAAAAATCAAAAAAAATCCTTAAATCAAAAGAGACCACTTGTTTTTTATTTACTACTCATTATAATCTAGGTCTCTTGATCCTTCAACTCGACCTCAAGTCAGACTACTCACTCTAGTACATTTTTGTTATCGCAATATGCTGTGACCATAGAAAGGAATTTAAAAAAAAAAAAAAAAAGATGAAAGGCAAAAGAAAAGGCTTTAGTTGAGGAAAATGATTTTCGATGGACTTCAATTCGATTAGTCAAGCAATGGATCCCTAAGATTGTTTACGAAATGCATAGTAATAGTGGACTAAATTTTCAATTTGAAATCTTTAATAATCCTGTATTATTAATATTGTCTTTTTTCTTTCTAAAAAGTTGAACAAATATTTATCCCTTTTGAAAGAGCGGAAATGCACCCACAAAATGAACTATCTTGACTGAGATCCATTGTGTATCTTTTTAGAGGCTTTTAATGGCCTGTTGAGTTGAGTGAAAAGGGGAATTGTAAATGTGTATCACTAAAAAAAACGTTTACTAGTCTTCACCAATGAAAAATTACAGACCACAAATTCGTTGCTATTTTGAGGATCGGTAATAGCTATTGAACGTTTGTCAGTAGGTAAAAGGTAAAACCTGTTGATCCCCTTTTTGTAAAGTTGACGTGAACAACAGATGTCGGGCTACTTGCGTTCACACAAGCAAATTCCAACACGTTTCGATCGACAATTTGGATGGAAAATGACGATATTTATGAACGTGGGAGATAATGCTCTATGACACGAGATAAAAATGTTCAAACACCGACAATATGATCAAAAATGATTGCATATTAATGAACAATGACAAACAACTCAACCAAAGTAAAAATAATCAAAACTCAAGCAAATAAGTATGAAGTAAGCAAGAGAAAAGATCAAATGCAGTTCTAAGTATCAAGAATTGCATTAGATTTAAATGTTACAAGAGTCGCTTATTTATAGAGTTCTAGCTGAAGTGGTAGCCGTTGGATAAGAACCAAGTTACCTCATCTCTCAGGTCGAAGTCTCACATCACTCAATCTGCTATGCAGTTAATATATTAACAACGGGTCAGCAACCTTACACCTTCTGACATTCATTATTACAAAAATTACATCAATCGTTCCTAGAAATTTCCTACAAATCCTCAGAAAGCTAGCGAAAGCCTCAGACAAAGGGAGCTTCGGATTGGAGAGAGGGCTTCGGCCAAAGGGAGCTTTTGGATAGAGAGCTTCAACTTCTTTTTTGATTTCTCTGTTTTGACTAATTGAGATTTTTGTTGACTTTTTAGATCTGACTCATATCTTCACGTGGACTATGACGTGGTCTTCATTTGGAGCCTCGCTGGCTAGGCGTAACAATAGTCCTCCAAGTTTGTGTATTATTATTCATATG